TGCATCCATTTCAGACTGATGAAAGGCAAAGAACCTGCAGTTCAGTTCTCTGTTCAGGACTGATGCTGCCATGCGATGGTAGATCTAAACCACTGAAAAATACTTGTTCCCAATACAGCTCTTAATTGCTCTCTGAAGTAAGAACTCTGTTCCTCTCTTCTCTGCATTATTTCACATTTGAGCCCTTCACAATATGCTTACAGTGAAGAATAATTCCACCTCTAAGTAAATTGTACTTTTATGCAGTGTTTTGTCCTGACTTACCTCAGGGAACTTTGCAAAAGCGCTGTATGGTGCCCACCCAAACGATTTACAAGAAATGAAACATACTGTATCATCTTTTGCAAGTCCAGGGAAACTCAGACATAATGTAATTTACTGGCACTAATACTCCTTTTTAGAATTTTTTTGTTGTTGTTATTCATAGTCTCATACTCCCAGGTCAGTCTCAGAACAAGACGAGTGGTACGCAGACACAGAACTTCATCTGTGATTCAGAGCACATACTAGCTAAACTGTGTTGCCATATAGGATTATGGTATTTTTTAGCTAATCCAAAATGCTAATTACTTCTGTCTTAAATTTAGGTAAAGATGCTTCCCTTCCTTGTACAGGGCTGCAGCGTTTTCGATACAGTGTTAAATAAGGTGAGTGTTTAGCGGACTTTTAGTGCGACTTCAGGCAGACACCCGGTTCCTACCATCGGAGATGCGGTGTGTAGGGAGGCTGGGAAACCAAGGCATGCAGCCAGTTACACGGGTTTGGAGGGCTGGGTATTCCAAAACTTCGACGTGACAAGCGCAGCAAGCGCTGTCACTGAGCAAAGCCTTGGGCTCCACCCGCTTTCTGCTGCCTTCCCCTGGCAGCGGCTGCCGGCCCTCCTGCGGGCGGACGGTGGCTGCTTCCTCCTCCGAGCTCCCCCTCCGGCACGGCTGCACAAATCCTCCGTCGACCCCAGCTTCACCCAACGTGCGGGACGGGGCACGGGCGCGGTTTGGCCCGGCTCCCG